TTTTTTTTTTTTTTTTTTTTTTTTTACGTAGAACAGATGGCTTGAAAAGGAAAGACATCTGGGTCAGAGGTGGAAAAGTGTGACCGGGAACTTTCGCCCCTAAAAACCACTCGTTCCTGTGGGACTGTGCCCTGAGCTAAGGCTTATTCTTAGCCCACAGAATTATGAGGGCCCCATCGGGAGAGAAAAGAGGAAGCATTTTAAAGACATTAACTATTTTTGCATTAGTCACCTGAAAAGGAGAGGTTGATCCTAGCCCTCACCTGCCACTGGGCACATTATAATCTTACTTCACAGCCAATAATTGAGCCCCATTTCTGCTCCGTAAACAGCCCACTGCCTCCCTCCCCCCGCAGGGGCTTCCCTTTGGAGGGTGTTCATTGGTGGGAACAGGACAGGGCTTGCTCCCAAGGCCTCTCAGGAAGCAGGCTGCCACATCCTTCCACTTAATCTGACATCAAAATTGATCTCCTGCCCTGGCCCATGTGGCTCAGTTGGTTAGAGTGGTGTCCCTCACACCAGAAGGTCGTGGGTTCGATTCCAGTCAGGGCACATACCCAGGTGTCAGGTTCGGTCCCCAGTTTGGGCACATATGGGAGGCAACTGACAGATGGATCTCTCTCACATTAATGTTTCTCTCTCCCTCTCTAAAATCAATAAAAAATTAAAGTTAAAAAAATTTTCAAAATCTATCTCCTTGAGACTGGAGTGCCAAATGGCTATTTCAAGCTTGTTTGTAGGAAATGTAACTAAAATTTAAACTAACATTTTAAAAATAATTGGGATCTCGAATATATAAAAATAGCTTGAAAGTAAACGTCATTATTTTGGTGAGGAAAAAAATTATTTGACTTGAAATGAGTCATGTGAGCTGTTTCCTGGGTTCAGCTCAGGGAGCTTTTCCCTAGACTCCGTGTAGACTCTAGAATCTCCCTTGCATGAAGTCAGCAGCTTAGGTGACTAACAGTACACACCAGTCTAGTAATAAAACACCAATTTCATTTATTTAACCATCTGCTTGCTCCACTTGACAAATATTTATGGATTATCTGTTATAGGCTCAAGATTGGGCTCCGAGGCCAGGGAACCAGAGACCACAGAGGCCTGACAGCCAGAGCCCCCCCCCACCCCCCAAGCAGCAAGCTGAGAGGGGACAAAGGTCACAGGACAAAGATTCCAGCCAGGGCTGGGTGGATTGGCCAGGCCCCTCTCCGGACTTGGCTGTGGGTTCTTACACCAGCCACTCAGCCCACTCCAAGGGTCAGTTTTTTAATCTGTCAAAGTTTTTTAATCTTTCGGGATTGTGAAGACAAGCAGAGTTCTAAACCCTCTGGGATTCTAGGGGAGTAATTATTTCTGTTAATGGTCATTGGTAAGTAAGGTGACATTTCCAAGTATAAAAGTAACTTACAGTGGCAATATTTTGTCTATTTTATAATTACAGGGGATAAACCTACATGGTTACTTCGTGGCCATCTGAGAAACCCCAAAGAGAGTTTAGGTATAGATAGAAGGTGTCTTCCCATTTTTGACAGAGAACACTTGCTATTACATTAAGTTATGAGACTAAAGTATTAAAAGAGAAGACAAGATTTAGTCTTATTTCGTTGTGCAAATATTTAACATAATGCATAATGAGTAGCAGTGACGCACTAGGTGAAAAGATTTAAAATGAACACAACAGGCTGGCCGGGAGTGGCTCAGCGGTTGAGCCTCCACCTGGGATCCAGGCGATTGGGGTTCTATTCCCAGTCAGTGCACATGCCCCGGTTGTGGGCTTGATCAATGACTCTCTCATCATTGATGTTTCTATCTCTCTCTCCCTCTCCTTTCCTCTCTCTGAAATCAATAAAGATATATTAAAAAAAAAATTTTTTTTAAATAAAATGAACACAACACATCATTTAGTTGAGATGATTTAAATCATTTAAAAGGCACAAAATATAAAGACCTGTCATTTTTGAACTGAAGATGTTTTATTGTAACATTTTAAAAAAATAAATCCTAACAGCTGTTTGTGTATGAGATTATGCATATACAAATTAAAATGTAAAGCTCTCAATGTTAGCTTTAAAATACAGTAAATCTGATCAAAATGCTAAATAAGACCAACTGGATATTAAATTGAGTTTTCCATCTTAATGAGCTGTAGCAGTTTTCTTAATAAAGAAACTCATCCATAATTTTGAAAACATTAATATTACCCGAAATAATTGAGCGCACTACAGTGTCAGTAATTTATTTCAATGAAAACCTTTCATCAAAGCAGTTTCACTTTTAAAACATTTTAGTTTGTAAAATCAAAAGTTGACAGAGTTGAAGAACATTATTAGGTGAATAATAGTGCAGGTTTTGCATCTCGGACGTGGGAGGTGGCAGTCCTGGGGATGAACTGGACCACGTCTGAGAAGTGCCAGGGTGGCCGGTGCTAGGTCATTAACAC